TTAAACCATTTCAATGTCACTATTGATGGGGGCCATGGAAAGTTAATTGATCCACCTCAATTGACCGATTCAAATTACTTACATTTAGTAAGATCCAAGTCAAAAAGACATTTTTTTTTAGTTGTATATTTTGATCAGCAATGCTTCCTTTTAGTCATATAATATATTTTCAATGTTCTATCATAAAATATAAATAAAAAAAAGGTATTAGAACACTTTAAGGATTAAAAAAACTGAAGTTTACCAAAAAAAAATTAACTTATGTATATTCCTTTAATTTTAGAACTCAATTGCATGACTTTATCTCAATGTCACAAATAATATCTTATATTCTATTATCTAAGTTATTCACAGCTTGCTCATTTTGAGATGTAAAAATTTTTCCTACTACTCATATCATATTCATTTTATATACCTCATATTTATCCTATCACAAATCAAACACTTTTTTTATTTCATCAATATCCAATACATACTTATTCAAATAGTTAACACAAGGATAAAATTATTTCTCATTTTTACTAGAAACATCTCTTCTAAAAAATTCAAAAAACCGGTCCATACTATTTTCATATTCATCACTCGTTCTCCTGGTATTCATTTAACTACAATTCATTTTGTTTTTTTACCTAACCAATTATCATAGAGTCTACCAAATTAGCAACTCTCTAGTTTACTTGAGCTTGAACAAAATGTTAAGATTAGGGGGGAAAGTAAGCAGAGTTTTTCCTTCAAAATAAAACCTCTCCAAATTTCAACAACATTAAATAAGCATTTTAGTCCAAATCATCAAATAAAAAATTTAAGTATAAATGAAAATGATATACCAATATTAAACTATCCATGCATTACACATAATATTTTTCAAAGCTAAGCAAACTTAATTTTTTCAAAATGATACAAATAAATTTGTAGTAATAATTTTTTGAAGCTAAGCAAACATGTACTTTAATTTTGTGACAACTTCAACACAAAAGAGCTAAGAATATTAAGTTCAAACAGTGATTTCAAAAAATTGAATAAATCAAAATAATGATGGAAAAATAAAGACTCATGGCACTAATTAAGACCAACATACATTCAAAAATTCTCAAAATTGTATCGCTAGTTCAACACCGGTACTTCACAAACATGTTAAGGTTTAAAAAAATTGGCAAAATTTTTCCTGTAAAAAATTTGGACCAGCATGAGAGTCCAACCACGTAAAAACGGGACCTCTAAAATTAAGCATTTTAACAACACCAAATTAAGCATTTTAACTAACACAAATCATCAGTATACTATAAATTAATATCAACCAAGAAAAAGGTAAGTTGGGATAAGCAGAATCTTTCAATAAATTAAAAATCAATATACTACAAATTATTGGGAGAAGCCGAAGATAATAAAGTTTCTTGGGCATAAAAAATTAATGGGATAAGCAGACAATAATTAAAAAAAAAAAAAACCTGGATGCCGAGAATAAAGAGGAGGAAAGGAGCTGGGGAGTAGCGAAGCTAAACAAAGAAGAGGAGCTGTGGATCATCGACGAAGAGGAAGAGCTGAGGGAAGCTCTGGGTCACCCATGAAGAGGAGAAGTTGAGCTTTACTAAGTTGTCGGTTTCAGGAGGGGAGAGGAGAGAAGGAGACGAGTTGAGCTCGAAAGAGGATAGGAGATGAGCTTACTCAAGCTAAATGGGGGACCTTCAGCTTTGGGTCGCCGATAAAGGAGAGAAGACGGCCTTTGAGTTTTCCTGAAAGGGTAGTTCGAGCACTCGTCGGACGGCGAGCTGTAGTGAAAGGTTTGGGTTCTGCGTGAGAGTGCCTTTTTGGAGTTGTCTAAAGTGTAGCGTTGAATTGATGAGGTGAAAATAAAATTAAAGATGAAATTTTATTAAACACGATTGGTATGTAAAAATTATAATTTTTAAAAATTTTAATTTTATTAAAAATATTAAAATTTAATTTTATCATATTAATTATGAAATTACTTCAATTTTTTTGAATTCAATTTGTGAACCTCATTATTCTCATCTTTTTTATTCATTTATAATAAAATAGATCTTTTTAATTTTGAGAAAAAAAGATAATTTAGTCTTTTTTTATTTTAAATACATATACAAATTAATATTATATTAAAATTTTATTTTTATATCAAACACACTTTTAAAATTTGATTTAATTTTATTTTAATTTTAATTTTATTAAAAACTCTTTTACCATACCAAATGAAGCTTAAAATGTAAATGACTGGGGAAGCTTGATTTAGGATGTAGTTGAAGGAGTGGCCATGTCGTTTCCGCAGAAACACGACATGACTACTAAAAATCTTATTTAAAAAATTATACACGTGATGTGAATAAACTAAACCACATCATTTATTTAAAAAATGATATGGTTAATTTTAATTAAAAAAATTTATTGAGATTTGTATTTCAGCTGAAATTTAAATCCCTGAAATGACATGGCTTTAAAAAATAAAAATTAAATTTGATTTTTAATTTATTTATTTTTCTCAACAAGCCACGTCGACATGGAATTTTCTCAGGCCGCGTTGTTTTTTGAAAGATGACACAGTTTCTTATGTATGTATATATATTATAGTAATAGTTTATTTTTATTATTATTATTTTTTTTTAACGAGAAGAGACATGGATCATTCTCTTGCCATGTCACTTTTCAATAAAGAGACGTGAATAACTTTCTTGATTTTCAATTTAATTACAAAATTGCTATCGATATTATTTTTCACCTTACTTTTTTTAAAAAATGACGTAAATTAGAGTCGTAAAAAGTATATTTTATATTAATGGATTCATAGAAATCTGAATGAACCATGAATTTAAAATTGTCCAAACTCCACTAATTAGTGATTTGAAAAACTTCTAGCTGTCATCCTTCAACACTGTCAGTCAGAGAATTAATCGACAACCTTTGAGATTGCTTGAAATACAAAGTATATTGAGGTGCAACGGGCAATCATTGAGCCGAGAAGTTGCTGATGAAATTGCTTCTACTATGGTAAATTCTTTGCCTGCAAAGCAAATTTTACTGCGAAAAAACCAGATCGTATCTAAAAAATAAAATGGCAAGATATTTGACACACCAATCTCAATAGAATCATCAAAATAATCATCTAGTTTCTAGCTGTAGAGGCAACCATCGTTGGATCGTCTGACCAGGACGACAATCCACTTGAATATCAAGCAGACTTCCGAACCAACATCCCCTTGCGTAAACGATTTTAAGTTGTATTGATTAAGATTTTAAAAACCGGATCAATTATTGAATCGAACTAACTATTGATTCATGGTTCATTGGTTTAACCGTGGTTGAATTGTAATTGAACCAGTTGATATTAAATTAATATATTATTAATTTATATATCATAATTAAGTAAAAAATATATGTAAATATTTATTTTTTTCAAAAAAATATTAATAAATACTTGATAAAATGATGTATTGTTGATGAATACATGATTAATATTAATTATTTTTTAAATTAATTTTTTTAAATTTTAATTAATTTAAACATATTTTTAAGAAAATTGATCCGGTTTTCAACCAATTTTTTCAGTCATTGATTGGTTTTCTTGTAGTCGATTTTGAAGAGTCAACTGAACTAGATTAAGAGCTAATTGTATGTTCAACCAATTGAACAGGTTAGGTCGGTTTGGTTTGGTTTTTAAAACACTGAAATTGATACATTTTGTTTTGTCTCTCATGTATATTTCTTTACTTCTTCTTTTCCCTGTTTATATGAATTCTCTTATTTAAAATAATTTTATTTAAAATACGGTTGAATATTAAATTTGAACATACTTTTAATAAAAATTTCAGCACATTTCATATATATTTCTTTGATTACAATAAAGATTACATTATACCCCCCCCACCAGGCCGACTTGAATTTTTTAATGATTTTTGGTTATTGCTTTTAGTTTTTTTTCTTTTGGTTCCTCCAGCACGCTACTTGTCCGGCATGAGGTGACATATTATTTTACTGCACAATATTTAGTTCAGTCTTCTTGCTGATTTTGCCATATCCAACACATTGTTTTTGATTTGGATGGAATTTCATAAAATAGAATGACTTATGTTTGAATATACGGTGATTTAGATTTAAATTTAAATCAAATCTCATATTTGAATACATAGAAATCTATGAATTTAAATAATTTACCTTATACTTATGTTGAAGTATGGAAAGTTTTTTGAGAGAATATTAATAAAGGACCCATAAAAGAATTTTAATATTTGACAAGAATTTAAATAGACTGAATATTTGTTAAAATAATAATTTCACTTATTACTTGTTAATGTTTATTTGATAAAAATCCTACTTAGATATTAAATTCTTGAAGAGGCTTTTCACTGATATTCTCTCAACATTTTTTAACTGAGAAAAAACAACAAATTCATTTGATTATACTTCAAGCAATACACCAAAATTCTTCATGATTAGAAATAACAACAACAAAAATAACGACAGCATTAAAAAGGATCAATAATAGAACAAGTCTGGTGAGTTGATATTTCAATTCAAAGTTCCAAGTTCAAAGTTCAAACTGAAGAAATGCACATGAATGGCTATATATAAGATTATTCAAGCGTCTTTGGCCACAAAAAAGATTATTTAAGTGTTTAAAATCTTTTTCCCCCCCCCCCACTTGAACCGTTATTAGAATTAGAATAACCTTTCCATCTAACGCCATTTTGGCAGCTTCTCCTTCTCCTACACCCTAGGAATAAAAGAAAACAGAAATTCATAATTCACAAATAAAGAGAAAAAAAGTTCTATCTTCCATAATCTTTCTAATTCATTGGCCCAAAAAAAAAAAAATCTTTCTAATTCTTTCGAGGTAAATTCCTTTGAAATTATTCTGAATTTCTGCGTTTTCCCTGAACAATTGATGTCGCAATCGCAATTAAGTCAATCCTATCATGCATGTCCATCGTTCTCAAACGCAGTTGTTATCCTTTTGTCCCAGATTCTTCTCACAAATGTCTTGTTAAGCTATGAGATCTAATACCAATATCTTGTTTTCTCTTATTATTGCATCTTTGATTGTAATTACTGGTTCGAAAGCTTCATCGGGTTTAGATTCTTTTGTCATTTCTTGTGGCCTTCCCTCTAATGTGGGCATGGATAACCACGGACGAAGGTGGCGATCGGATTATAGATTCCTGACGTCTTCCACTAACACAATAAACTCAACAGCACAATACAAAGACCCTTCTCTTCCTTCACAAATTCCTTACATGTCTGCGAGAATCTTCACTTCCCCAACCACATACAAATTTCCTGTCTCTTCTGAATCTCGGCACTGGCTTCGACTCCATTTTTACCCCTCAGAATATAGCAGCCTTGATCCCTCCGATGCTTATTTTGCGGTTTATGCAAATGATGTCACTCTCCTCCACAATTTCAGTTCTTTCATTGCAGCGCAAGCTTTAACGCAAGCCTATTTCATCAAAGAATACTCTCTCCTGCCAATCCAATCTGGTGAACTGAACATCACCTTCACACCATCTTTAAGCCACCATGGATCATATGCTTTTGTTAATGGGATTGAGATAGTGCCTATGCCTGAGATTTTCAAGCCTGCTAAGTTGGTTTCCACTGACCGGTTTATTGATGTCGGGAACAGGCCGTTGCAGACAATGTTTCGTTTGAACGTTGGAGGAAATTTCATAGAACCCAAAGAAGACTCTGGTCATTTGAGCAGGACATGGTATAGTGATACCCCCTATTTGCTTGGAGCAAGAAGTGGGGTCACTTCCGGTGCTGATGAGAATGTGACGATTCAATACCCTTCTGAAATGTCTCGCTCCATTGCCCCTTTGGATGTTTATAGCTTTGCAAGAACCATGGGTCCAAATGCAAGTGTCGACCAGAACTACAATCTCACTTGGGTGTTTCAGGTTGATCCAAAATTTACCTATATTGTGAGGCTTCATTTCTGTGAGTTGGAGTTAGACAAGATTAACCAAAGGGTGTTTGATATTTATGTTAATAATCAAACAGCACAAGAAGCTGCTGATGTTTTAGCATGGACACGTTCTAAAGGGGTTCCCACTTACAAAGACTATGCAATTTATGTCACCAATGGACCTGGTGACGAAGAATTATGGGTCGCTTTACAACCTTCTGTTTCAAAGAAACCAGAATACTATGATGCTATTCTTAATGGATTAGAGATTTTTAAGGTTAGTTCCGATGATAGAAATTTAGCTGGGCACAATCCGACACCATCGGATATGCTTCTTGAAGATGAAGCTAGAAAGAAATTTAGCCCTTCAGAGGCCAATCATGCTCCAATCATAGGAGGGGTTGCTGGAGGAGCTGTTGGGGTTGCTGTTGCTGTTGCTATATGCTTTGTTGCCTATAAGAAGAGGAAACAAGATCGTGGGAGTGATTCAATTGCTAGGAGTTGGTTGCCCATATATTGGAATTCACAAACAACAGCTAGCAAATCAACTTTCTCTGCTGTTAGCAGTACTCTTTCATCATTAAGACAGGGGTTGTGCAGACACTTTTCATTACAGGAGGTCAAGTATGCTACCAAGAGCTTCAACGAATCACAGGTTATCGGTGTTGGTGGGTTTGGGAAAGTCTATAAAGGTGTCATAGATGGAGGGACCAATGTGGCTATAAAGAGATCAAACCCCACTTCTAAGCAAGGAGTTTTGGAGTTTCAGACTGAAGTTGAATTGCTTTCAAAGCTAAGGCATAAACACTTGGTCTCTCTAATTGGATTTTGTGAAGAAAATGGTGAAATGATCATAGTTTATGATTACATGGCCAATGGAACTCTAAGAGAACACCTATACAAAAGCAACAAACCAGCTTTACCATGGAAGCAGAGGCTTAAAATCTGCATTGGAGCTGCAAGAGGGCTTCACTACCTTCACACAGGTGCCCAATTCATCATCATTCACAGGGATGTGAAAACCACAAATATACTATTAGATGATAAATGGGTAGCAAAGGTATCAGATTTTGGGCTGTCCAAAACAGGTCCTGATTTGCACCAAAACCATGTAACGACAATTGTGAAAGGTAGCTTTGGATACTTAGATCCTGAGTACTTCAGGAGGCAGCAACTCACAGCAAAATCAGATGTGTACTCTTTTGGGGTGGTTCTTTTTGAAGTGATTTGTGCAAGGCCTGCGCTAGATCCTAACTTGCCTAAAGAACAAGTGAGCCTAGCAGATTGGGCTTTAATGTGTCAAAGGGAGGGGAATTTGGAGAGCATCATTGATCCAGAACTTAGAGGTGAAACCAACCCTGAGTGTTTAAAGAAATTTGTGGAGACTGCCCTCAAGTGTATAGCTGACCATGGGCCTGAAAGGCCATCAATGGGTGATGTGTTGTGGAACCTTGAATTTGCACTTCAGTTGCAGGAGAACCCAAGTGGAGGGGAACATGCAGCAGAAGAGAAGGCTAATGATGCTTATGTTAAGCATAATGCTGTGGCTATTTTGAACGTTGGAGAGGGGAGTACAAATGCAACAACTAACGAGATGAATGATTCCAGTGTAGTTTTTTCACAATTTTTTCAGCAAAAAGGAAGATAACGTAAGGATTAAGAACCATTAGTGTCATTTTTGTAGAATGGAGTTAGAAGTTATGTTAGGAGCTTCTATTGGCCAAAAAGGAGTTTTTTTGTTCATACTCCTTGACCTTCTTTTAACCTTAGAGGAACAATGCTTAGCCAAAAAAAAAAAAAAACCCTCAGAGGAACAATGCAGTCATAAGGAAAAACTCAGGATTATGCAGAGCAATATCTACTCTCAAGATGCTCCCTTTTGTGTGAAGGTTTTCATGAAAGCTTTTAATTGTTTTTCTCTTATTTTCATGAGAATGTATATAGTATGACTTAATCTTTTTGTTTTTGGTACAGTAATTATGACTTTATCTGTTCCTATTATAAACCAACTACCAATGTACATATGCAATGGCAGAGGGTGCAACTTTAATTTATTTAAAAAATGTTCATATAAAAATAAAAATTTATTAATTTTTTAAAAAATTACATGTGTGATAATTGTGTTTTTGAAACAAATAATTTTAAAAATATAGTTTGTAATCTTAACTTTTGCATAAACTCTGAAAAGTACTTTTCATTAATAAGAGGGGGAAAAGAAATTTATTTAAGGAGTGAAATAATGAGAAAAAAATATTAGAATGACCATTGTTAATAAAATTTTATTTTTTTTTCAAAATGTCTTGTACCTGACACACCAAATCATTTTAAAAATGTCTTATAAAAGAGGATGATATCAGTGGTAATAAATTAAAAAGGTGAGTTGGATGTTAACGATTTTTTCCCTCATAAGCAAGACAAAATAAGCTAATCAATGCTTTCAATCTTCTGTATTTCTAGTGAATCATTCCATGCATCTTCACACATGGGGTCAGAATTTTTAAATTAGTGGAACAAAGTGCCAAAAATTTTCATACTTAATTGAAACTTTACTTAACTTAGGGGGTGCATTTGCCTCCTTGAAATAAGTGGCTCCACCATTATACACATATTTTTGGGGAATCAAGTAATTTTGACATAAGGTACTATACTAATATAGCAATAGAGAATGAATTGGTAACATTTCAAAGAAATTGTGATTCCATTTTTAAATGCATTATGAGTTCTGATTTGAATACTTTAGTGTGATATAAATTAAAAAAGAATGAAACATTTAAAATTTGATTGAACTCATAGTTAAAAGTTTATAAATCAATACATTGTTACATAATGGCATGAAAGCTTTCCGGTAGATTTTGCTTATAATCCCAAGTCATTCACACTTGCCCCTCTAGATTAAAAAAAATAAACTTTCAAAAATAGAACTTAAATTTAAAATAGTATAACTATGTTAATGATAAATGACAATTTTATATATTTTTATCCTTTTAATTTAGACTTTTAAATATTTATTTGAAGTTAATAGAGTTTAATTAGATATTATTTAATTTTATTCGCCAATATTCAATTTTGGAATTTGAACTAACTAAATCTTTGATTTTAAAATATAAACAATATTTTTAATATTTTTTGCACAGGTGCTATTTAATTCTATTTTATTTGTGCAGATCTTCTAAATTCAATTTGAAAGATATTGATAGAGAATATATTGGATAAGAAGAATATGAGCATACTTGAAGATCAAATCAAAAATCAAATCTTTAAAATTTTATTTAAATTTATTTTGGGTTATTTAGTGTAATTTTTAATTAGGGTTATTCAAGGTAGTTTTATCTTTTAATAAATTATTAGTTTTTATTATAAAAGAAAGAAAGAGAGACGCAGGGGGGACGGTCCACTTTTCATATATATATATATATATGAGTAAACGGGAGACGCACAGAGGAAGCATGATCTGGGAAAAAAAAACGAAAGAAGGGAAACAGAGCAGCTATCGCCATTCGTCTTTTCTTCCTCCAATTTCTTGGGTGATGGCTTCTCAATTTCTCATTTTATGTTGTTTGATTTTTAATTCTATGGAGAGCTAATTTTTTATTGGTGTGATCCATCACAAACCATGATCTTAAATTTTAATCAGAGTCTTTGATATTTAAGGAAGAATTTATTTTAGCTTTATTTCAATTTACTCTTTCTCTCTCTACCTCTGAATTTTATGTTCTAATTGCTATTACTGATTAGAGTTGCTTTATTGCATAATTTTTGAGTTATAAATTTTATTTGAGGTTTTACTTGCTATAATCAATTGATGTAGCATTATAAGAGTAATATGGCCTAGCTTGGGTGATTATCCATGCTTTGTTTTTGGTATGGCTAACATAGAACAGTTGTTAGGTTGTACGTTAAAGAAGATCTCAATTAATCTATAACTTAATTTCTTGTTTAATTCTTGAATGAAAATTTGAGAAATAAATAATAAAACCAGAATAATAAAGTTAAATAAAATTAATTTAATTTGTGTACGAGGAAGATTAAATTTAGGTGATTGACTTGTGATTGATTGCACTGCTTGTTCTTGATAATTTTTTCAATTGAATTTTCTTTATTTATCTAATTTTAATTTAGATATTTTTAATTTCATTATAAAACCCCCCATTTTTTTAGCTTTTCATAATCATAATTCAAATAGTTACTCTATTGACTCTCAGAGAGACGACCTAGGTTGCGCTTTACTGCAAAATCTAGTTTTTATTAATTTTGGTGCTATTCGACAGTAGTGTCAGTTAATATCTCCGTTAAAGCAACAACGCAAAATATCTAGTCCATGGTAAGTATTTTAAAAGCTTATAAACAAAATATTGACGTCACCATGTGACATCCAACTATCTAAAAATTAAAATTACTCCGGATTTAAATTGTTTGACATTTTGTGCAACATCACTTGTCTATTATAGTATTATTTTTTTGGCCAAATATTATAGTATTATTTCATTATGAACTTTATGTAAAATACTGGCAAGAAAAAGAAAAATATTTATATAAATTTATCAAAAAATGAATTATTTTTCTATTTCTTAGTATATGCTTAAATTATATAGTTTATTATTGTAAAATTAACAAAAATATATTGAATTTAAACTATGATCAAGATATTGTAACAATTAGTTTTATTGAAATTATTGAAAGATATATTCAAACTTTTTTAATTTTAAACATTCTTTAAACTTCTAAAATTAATATTATTCAAATAAAAAATTTAAAATAATAAATTCGAATATTTCATAAAAATTAATATATAATTACCTATATAAATAAAAAAGAGCAGTTGGCAAAAAACTAATATAAAAAGAATAAAAGTTAAGGTGACTTTAGCTTTAGCCTCCGATAAAAAAAAAATGACAAAATCTTTATTTTTCCCTTGTCATGCATTAGCTAGGGTTTAAGGTCCCAGGGGTTTTTGGATCAAAGTTATTTAGTGCGAGTGGGCAATGAGCCTACTTCACTGCTCCCTTACTTCAGCCAGGAAGGGACCATAAGCTCTTCAGCCTTATCATCATTAAATGGAAGATCCTAATATTCCAAAGCCGCAGCAATCACCTTTCCTTTGTCTCTGAGTTTTGTAGGTAGAAATGGAAGACTTTGACGATGATTTTGGAGAACTTTACGCTGATGCTGAAGTTCACAGAACTTCAGCTGCTGATGGCGTGCCTGATTTTGCTCGATTGTACATAGAGGCCGAAGAAGATGATGGCAGTGATGGTAGGAAGAGTCAAGATGCTAAGCTTAAGGAGGATTCTGTCTCCGACGCAATGAAAGTCGATGCTGAATGCGGCGAATCGACACGTTCTGACGGCGAGGTTTCTGAGTCCAGTGCTGGGAAGGAGGCGAATGATGATTATATTGGAAGTGACAGTGAGGATGATTTGAACATAGTGTTGAATGATGAGGATTGCCCGGGTTTTCCAGTTGGGGTTGTTAAGAATGAGGGAGTTGTTAGAGGAGTTGGTTATGATGAGGAAGATAGTGATGAAGCTATAGGCCTCACTGACGGGAGCAATTTGGGCAAGAACGGGAAGTGCGGAGATCAACTTGCTGATGGGACGGAACTGGTGAGTTCCAACGGACTTGGAGTTCAAAATAGAAGTGGACTGAAAGGTGGATGCAAATCACAGTATTTTCACCATAAGGTAGTAGTTCTTTATGGACTGTTTGTAATTATGAAATAGCTAAAGGGTAATTTAGTGTGTTGCTGGATAGGACAATGTATAAAACCTTGGTTTCGTGAATTTTGCATGGAATATTTTTTATCCGTAAGCAGCGTCTATTATATTTGATTCAGACCTTATTCTGTTTTCACAGTTAAAGGTCTGCTATCTATTTTCCTGCTATCTTCCATCATATCGGTCCCTGTGGCATTATTTGTGCAACTGACACGGGAGATTACTGTTTAAGGCGTTCAAGTTTTGTTCCTTACCTCCATTCATTTCTGTAGTATGTAAGGAGAGGTTCAGCATTAGTGAACAATACGAAAAGCAACAAGTCCATGGGGCTGGTTTCCTACCTCCCTTCCTTTACTAAAGGTGGGCGAAATGGTAATGCATCTATCCAGAAACAAGTAGCAAGCTCCTCCTACATTGCTCACATGCAAACTGCAGCAAATCCGATGGTGTTTCAATGTGGATACGGATCATATCTTCCTTGGCACTGGTTAGTGCATACATATGGACACAGTTTGTGGTCTGTGCATGTCTCGGTTCATTTTGCTCCCTTTTCCTCCTACCTCCCCCATTCTTAAAAGCATTTTTTGAAAAACTAATTCCAAATTCTCAAGAAACTGGAAAAGGCAGCTTATACAATGGCAAATTCTATGTTTATATTTTCAAGTTTACAAGAACAATTTAAAAAAATCTTTTTATGCCATGTTCTATCTGGCCTCCAAATATCTTAACTTCCTCCATTCTATGCTTTCCCTAACAGGAGTATATTTGATGTAAACATTGATACATTAGAGGAGAAGCCATGGAGGAACCAAGGAGTTGACATAACAGATTACTTCAATTTTGGTTTTGATGAGAACACTTGGAAGTACTACTGTGCATCACTGGTGAGTTAATTGTATTTAAAGAATCTCAAATTTCAGCACTAATTTGACGCACGTCCCTTTTAGGAGACTGGGGTTTCTGCTACCTTCATTTATCATTTGTTTAATGTTTTCATAGATAAAATATTGACATTTTGTTTCATTTGAGGGTTCGTGCAAAGCTTATTTAAAAGAATCATACACTTAAATCGTTTGCAGGAGCAACTTTGGGAAGCCTCCCTGCAAGCTGGTATTTCTGTTAAGGAGTCTTCAAAAATTAATCTGGTGTGTGATAATTTGTGTAGGAAAATGGTTAATAGATTTACAGGTTGTGTTATTGTGCCAAAGGTCACTGACCTATTCTTTTTACCTGGAAAAATATTTCAGGATGACATGAGAGATCAAACTGAACAAGCTGTATCAGGGAGTTTACTTTCACCTTCAATAGGATGTGAACTGGTATGATGATATCCTTACTTCTTTCATCCAACTTTGATGTTTTATATGTTGATTTAAGCTAGCTTCTCGACTGTTGCATTCAAATACATGTTTGGGCTTTTTTACTGACTGACTTTTGGTAATTCAGCCAAAAGGTAGAGCAATTCAGATTGAGGAGAGCAAGTTTGAGCGCCAACCATCCATGGATGTAAGGCGTCCACGCATTAGGGATTCTGATGTGGTGATACAGGTGCTCACTCTTAAAATTTCTCAAAATTCTTGTGCTTTAGCAGCCATTTATCTTTGGATTAACTTGGGCTGGTTTTGAGCAGATCAAGGTGCTTGAATCCTCTGATAGTCATTCTAATTCTGGTAATAGCAATGTGCAAGAATTATCTGAAGAGGGCAAATTTTGTCCTGGCAATAACATAAATATTCCCAGTTCTGTCAGTGAACATGACAACAAGCTATCTGAAGAGCCATTGGAAGATGTTAAAAATTCAGAGGACTCTTCCCCCAAGGAAAGGTCCGCAGTTTGTCAGATACTGAATTTTTGCAATTCCTTTTTATTTCATAAATGTTCTTGCATATCTGGGTGCAAATTACATCTGTTCTAATTTCCCCCTACACATTTTCAATGTTCAAAGTACAGGTAAGTATGTGAATTTTGAGAATCAGGTGGCATTTCTTGAATCAGAATTTGAAAATACAAGGCTGTAATTATGAAAGTGTTTGTGGGTTGTGAAACATAGAACCCGTACCCTTTTTTTTCTCTTTCTTTTAATATTTATAAGTTTCATAGTCTTTTCCCCTTCCTTGCTTGTTCTTTTGTTGTTTTTGGCTTATGCTCTTTAAAAATGGCCTCTGCAGGACGTAATTTTGAAAATTATATAGAACTGGCTAGTTTTCTAATAAACCAATGAACTGGCTAAGTTCACTGATTTTGTTGATGGCCCCATGTCATCATCAACAAATATTGTAGATGAGTGCCAATGCATGGTTCAACCAAGATCCTTTGAAGTGCAAATATCAGCCTTGCCACAAATCTGACATGAGTGTGGAGCATTTATTTACTTATTTATAATATAGATGGCAGCTCGCCTATGAGTATTCCAATAGAAGAGTGACAAAAGAAGTTCTCCAAACAAAATTCTATATTTATGTCATTATTCTAGTACAGATCGGTTAAGTTTTCAAGGCATTGGCTAGCAATGTTTCCCTTTAGAGCTCCTATAGTTTTTCTATTTATCGCTAAAATTGTTCCCAATTAATTGAAATAAATGATATGCCATGATGGTACATTATTGCATTAGTTTTCATCCTAAACTAGTTGGTAATTCACATTATGTAGATAATCTTTCTTCTAAATAATTGTTAACGTTTTTTATTCACTGACTGATCTTTGGTTAACTTTGGGTGCAATCAATTATAGTTTTTCTCCTTCGTTGGGAATATACATTTAATGTTTAAGTTCATAGCTAAATGTTCTCTTTTGGAGCTAAGCATTTGTTAAATAATTTTGCTAATAGGACTCTGAATTTTACAGAAAAGATCCAGTTCTTGTTGATAAAAATGGATGTCAGGATCAGATGGAAACACGTTCAGAAGATACTGCAGAAGAAGCATCAGAGGATGAGTCAAAAGTAGAGGAAGCAATTGACGTAGGCACTTGCACCACTGATCAATGCTTGATTGAATCACAGTTATCATTTGGAGACCACGACCTTAGCTTGACTTCCTATTCTGACAGTGAATCTGAAAACAGTGTACATGCTGACTATGAGATAAAGCACAGCCAAAGAAGGCAATTAGAAAAGTCTACTACAAGCTTGAAAGAGTCTGCACCAGCAGATTGTAAGATCCCAAAGAACAACAGTTTCAACAGAAAACATGGAAATATGGATTATTATTCTAGAAAAAGAGGTCCAATTCAACAAGAATGGAAGCCTCTAAACCATAGCCATGACCCTGGTTCTAAACTGCATAAATTCAGTGAAAAAGATAATGATATCTTCTCCAAGTCCATGCCTGGTGCTAGAGAGCTGCCTCTCCTTGGTCATGATTTTTTTAAATATGGCCGGAAGGACATACAACTGAAAGATTATGGTGGTTGTAAAAGAAGAGATGCTTCATGTTATGGGGAAACAGAACAATCCTACCATTATGATGATGAAAAGGTAGTTGATGATATGGTTCACACTGTTTCCACTAGACACTCGTATGGCAAAGATCGTGACAGCTTTAGAGAGCATACAAAGCGAGATGTCAGAAGGGAGTGGGATGGGAAGGATTATGTTTTTGAACATAAAACTCTGAAGGAGGATAATGATGACAGTCTACAAGATTGGTATCATGCTGATGGAGGATACTCTGCTGATGAATTGAGTCCTCTGTCCTATAGGGAGTCCAGGCAACTTATGTCAAGACATTGCTCTTTTCCTGCCAAGGAGAGGAGTATTCAGCGGAGAAGAAAGCATGAGAAGCCCTATTTTAGGGACAGAAACAGTGATAAAGATAATTGGTTTAACGAGTGCAGGCTTGACTTCATAGACGAAAGCTATACTGCTTCTATTGAGAGAGAAGTGGAATCACTAGATAGTAAATATGAACATCAGTGTCTGGAACCGAGAAGAATTGTCAGACAGGGGAGACATCATGTCAGGCCTTCATTAGAATTAAACAGCTTATGGTCTGGGAGAATTGAGGATGAAGGTCAGGAATACACTGGTCATCAGACTTCAAAGTTGCCCTATTGTAGACAATTTTATCCAGATTCACATAAAAATTTTGTGTATGATACAGAAGTAAGTGAATGTCTGAGAGGTCATAGGAAACATAAACATGCTAGAGAAAGCAGATGTGGTGACTGGTATTGTAATAATATTGATGGTTCAAAAGATGAAGATTTTATAATCCATCCTGCAAAAGAGTGTGACTTGGGGAGTAGAAGATACAGTTCTCCATCTGAAGTCCTAGATTGGATTGAGGATGATGTTATGTTAGGGCATCATGATACATTTCATGCTGATGAGGAAACATTCTCCTATGAGGAGACATCATGGCATAACGTGACTCATGCAAGATATGAATCTCTGCATGATGAGGTGGAAATTGATCATATACGATTGCAGCGGCATCACTTCCATATGCCAAGGAGAGGTAGTGACAATTGTATAGAAAGATGCTATAAGATTGCCAGTAGAGATAACCGTGGGCAGGCAAAGTGCTGGAATTCAATTGACTTGGTTAAAGGGGATGGAAAGGTAACCCTGGGGAGCTTATGGTTAAGAACCTGTACTGCTATACTTGTACATATGAAATATTCCGCATCTGTTGGGTTATTTAATTTAATTCTTTTTTTTAACTTTATCTCAATTCACTGTACTACCACCCTCCCGATTATGTGCTGTGTTCTACAGTTTTCTTCTCCACTTTTATATATGCTGGCTTCTGCACTTGTACAGTATGTAGTAATGTGCTTGAGTTTCAGTATTATCATCAGGCTAAGTTGGAGAGAATCTCTGGTCAAGCAGAAAGAAAATATACGAAGTTTGTCAAAGTCATTAAGACGTTAGTCTCCAATGTCTGATTTGCTTTCTATGATAGAGTGAATTTGAGGTGCTTTTGTTTAGTCACACGTTTCCCTGTTCCTCATACTGTTTAGTATTTTATTATTACTTTCATGATACAACATTCTGACTTTTTTTAATTTAAATTATAATACTTGTCTCCAGGCAGCGTTAATTAGCTTGGCTATTTTGCACTTGAATTTGAAAATATTCTTTATTGGTCATAGATTAAGTTATCATGTTTAGTGGTCTCTCCCTATTTTCTCCTACTTACTGAATTGAGCCCCGCTTCTTTTTTCTTGCTAGTGCTTTATTGACCCTCTGAATCTGAGAATAAACGTTTGCTGTTCTGGGCATGTGGCATGTCATGTTAATTATAGTGATGATTCAGCTCATTGTCATTAACACAGCAAACTAGCATTTGATAATGCGTTCTGTATTATTTGCATCTTGTTCAAGTACATTACATTTGCTTGCACATTTCATTCATTTTCTAATTATATTATGATTTATCTAAAATAGTTAGACCAGATTTTTCAATTTAGTGAGCTAGGGCATCCCCATCCAAGCAAGTGAGCAAATATATCATAGGAATTAGAGAAGAATCCTTTACTATGCAGTATTTGCCAAAAAAAGGGATATGAGCAATAAGTAGCAATAACATTTCTCATTTTGCAACGATACATTGCATTTGAAAGGGAAGCTGAAGAGTTGAAGTTGGTAGTTGCACTTCGACATTTATATCTACTGGTCTTACATTGTTTGCAAGTAGATATTCAATATGCCCCTGGGGAAGCTTTCGTCATTACTTGAGCTTCTCCTGAATAAAACCATCTTTCATTCTTACCGCATAATATTTTTTCTTCTGTTGAGCTTGGTTGACACACTTAGATATTCAAAGTTTATGCCCATCTTACCTTTATCTTTGGAGACGGGAGAAAATTGGGTGGTACTATCTTTGCTTCTTTCCAAATTGTCTAGGGCACCTAATTGAACCAGTTTACTGTTTTGAACCTTGTCTTGCAAAATGAAACTTGGAAAAACTTGGAATTACATATTTGAACCAGTTTTGGAGCTTTAACATTTCTAAGGGGGATTTGGGGATAAAAGATGTCATCTGCGAAGACATCTATCTTTCTTTGATTATAGCTCCTGTCTTGCTTGATGTATGAACTGTATATACATTAACCTGTTGCTAGTCACTTTTTTCCAGCTTTTGCAGTCTGGCCATTTATGTGGTTTTAGTTTTAGCTACTCTTCAAACTTGGCAGTGGGCCTGCAGGTTGATTCTTCCTGTTGATTTGGTTTGGAAAGACATTGATATCTCTGATCCCCAATTCAATGAGTCTTGCTTTACATGATCAGATGATCTATATAAGATTTGACAGCTTTTCTGTTCTATATATATTGGCTTGTCTAATTTTTCCATAATAGGATTGTTCTTTTGGTTGACTGAACAAAGAAGGCAATTGTTTTGTGGTGTATTTATTCATCTCCTATTTATCATTGAGTGTGGAGAGAGAGAGCTTTATGGTTATTATATCTTGTTTTATATTGAGCTTATGCTCATAGGTCGGATAATGTGGCTAATCTTTCAATTTTAGTGTGTGGTTTTGCCATAGTTTTCTGAAGTTCTTATCTATCCTGTTATTAACTCTGATGACTAGTTTCTTCTTATGAGCATTATTTTGAGATTTTATGTTTACTCTTGAGAATCCAACTCTGCAATTTACATCCATCATATGTTCTAGCTGTTGCCTCGCATGTTATCCATTATATAATGCATGTGTGCGGCATCAATGGCCTTGGTTTGTTAGATGTGTCAAAATTATTCTGGTGTGTGCTTGATATCCCAAGTATGACAAGTTATAAATTTGTGGTGTGCTCATGACTGATTCTGCAGTTTCATGGAAGAAGTTCCAGAACTAGAAGTTTGTTGTGCGGTGGTAGGATCAAAAACTTGGATCAGGACTTTGCCAAGAAGCGGACAGCTTCTATGGGCATATATAAATCCCATGATGAGAAAGCTGCAAAATTTGAGAGTAACTGTAACCGTAGGAAATGGCTTCACAGTATTCCAGATAAGGAGCATAAAGGTTTGGAATCTGAGGAAGGTCAGATGGTGACAGAAGAGCCATGCATGCTGGGTTCAATGCACAGAAGGGATCTTTCTGAGGGTGAAGCACAGACTGGCAGCAAGAAGAGGATGCTTCACAATGAAAATAACCGGGATAACAATACAAGTGGTCAGGATAACCAAAGGATTCTTGAGACGTTAGCTAAGATGGAGAAACGTAGGGAGCGCTTTAAGGAGCCTATTGCAATGAAAAAAGAAACAGCGAAGAGTTTGAATTTGAAGCTGGATGATAGCTCGATTGTTGTTACAGATGAAACAAAGCAACATAGGCCACCTCGAAAACGGCGCTGGGGTGGTAATTAAATTCCTGCTGCACTTTGAGGGCTCCCTTGTCCTTCAATTTTGACAAATGGTACACAGAGTATAATGAGGTGGTCCACAATTTTTTCGGTCCAAGTTTTGTTTTCTTGACAAAGTGAGATTATGATGAGACGACATTTTTACCATACTTCAGCAAGCAATAAAGTGCATGCGGCCTTGTTATCATGGCGAATTTATTGAAAGCTCTGTATTGTGATGGCTGTAAATAAATCTGACATTTTTTAATATAACATGCCCATTTCTGAATGCCAGTCATTGTTTCTTTGCTGAAATGCTCTTATTTCTTCGTATTATCTTTTGTGACCCCCCCCCCCTTTTTTCCCTAGCGAAGTTCTGATTCTGATTTTGATTGTTGTGCCTCTGTCTTGTTGCTAAAGGCACACGTTCCACTCTTGGCGTTGTGTGGGGTGCTGGCAGCAATACGAACAGATTTTAGATTGGTGATTCAAATTTCTTACATTCGTTATCTGAATATGATATTGAAAAAGAGATATAGAAACAAAAACAAAATGAAAGATGTGGTGTAGGCTTAATGAAGTCATCATTTTGTATGATTTTTTTTTTTTTACATTATATAAATGTAAAAGATCCATTTGACAAAGTCGATGCGTTTGCCCTGTGGTGAGAGCAGTACTGAAGATGGGCACTTGGCCAGTTCATGCTATAAAAAAATAAATGTCTTGAATTTCTCTTTCTTTCTTTTCCCCGGACGAAGTGTTAATATCTTGAATTATATGGCCCGGAATGGATGAGGCTAAAAATTATATGGGTCTCATCTTTCCTGAAGTTTTCCAAATATATTGGGGGGGACTGTGGCACTGTTGATTTCCCAGATGTTATAGACTGACAAAAATGTACATGCTAAGAAAAGTAAAGAATTAAGTGCCCCCATGCAGGATCGAACTACAGACCTTCAGTTTACAAGACTGACGCTCTACCACTGAGCTATAGGGGCAGTTGTATCTTCAGCACCCTATGATATTAATAATTACAGAAATAATTTACAATCTGGCCTTACTTTTTCTCCCATCATTCATTCAACAGTTCAATTGTTGAAATTCAAAACAAAAGAGTCAAAGAAGAAACTAGAATGTTGAGTGACTATATTGTTTTTTCGTTGAAAGATTAACGGATTTTTTTGTCTCCCTGTCAGAATATTTAAAATTATATTTTGAGAAAAAGACAATTAATGATAAATTTATTCTCTCTCCTAATAACTTCACTAATAATTTAATAAATATTTGGCCTGAGTATTTTGTAGAGGATGAAGGATGATTTTCAGTATTCATATCACATGAATAATTTTATATTTTATATTACACATATTAGAACTAGATATTAATCATATATTACTAGAAAAATTGCAATTGATGATAGATAAATATATCATTAATTTTAGATTTAGTGATGAATTGGCTATTACTAATTTTCTTCACTAAATATAGCATGACTAATCCATGTGAGATGACAGTATGTGTACGTCACTAATTTAGTAACAAAAAATAACTTACTAATTAGTAAACTGTTGTCATTACTTTATTTTATAATTATAAGCTTTTTTGCTAGTTTAATCATTGCCACATCACCCCCATATCACTCATCACTCGCCACATAATCGTCACTTGAATTCCCTCCATGCCACGTCAATGGCCTGTTTTAATTCTCTTTAAATATGACTTTGTCATAACTCAAACATAAGACCTTTCTATTTTCACGCATGCCTTTAATTAGTTAAGTTGTAATGACATTTTATTCTTAATATACAAAATTTAATGTGTGTGTGTGTGTTTGTGTGTATATTAAATATTCAACATAATGTAATTTATTTCTTTCATATAATTTTATATAAACATGTTGATAATATATATTGCCATATGTACACATTAACATACTTAAATGCATAAATCAATATATATTATTAATAAATAAATATATTATTTAAAATCAATTAATATATATTACTAAAATAAATAGTTGTGCATATCATTTTATATTATCTATGTTACAATTAAAATATTTCATATGACAAAATTTTATTTTTATATGTAAAATTACATAATAAATTTTTTTTTCTATTTTTTCTATATTATTTGTATTATTTATTTTACTTATAATATAAAAAATTATTTTAGTAATTATTTATTTTATTAATTTTAAATAATTTGTATGTGAATCTCTATGTATATTATATTTTTTAAAATTTATAAAATAATTAAGTACATTTTATTAATATTTTAATTAAATTATATGTCACTAATGCAAATATTTAGTGACGTAAAATAGTGATGGATTTAAAGCGATCACTACATTTATAAAATTTGATAAAAATGTGATGATATTTTATATTTGTCACTAATTTATGTAATTAGTGATAAATTTTAATCCGTCATAAAATTCCTGTCATTAATACCTAATCTGTTATTAAATATCTGTCACTAATTTTGATTTTTCTAGTAGTAGTGATACTTGGCTGCTGATTTGAGGGTTTTGTTTGTGAAAAAGCTTGCTTTGTGCCTCCTAATAGAACTTTGTCAGATACATACATGTAACATGACCATGGATCAGTTTTATACTATACACATTATTACATACATATAAGAGCCAAATTATATTTAACTTGGACACCATTTCGGTCAACTTAGTAGTAGATGTACGTGGCTGATTAATATACCTAAAAATCTCTAGGATCAACAAACACGTTCCTTACTTGTCCCTTCAACAACACTTCATCGTCATCGTCATCATCCTTTTCATCACTCAGTCCTGAAAGCCTCTTAATATACCACAGATCATCGATACAAGACATGGAAGCTGTTCGAGGCACAAGCTTCGCAAGAGGATCTCCAAACCCTAACTCAGTTATAACCACCTTACAATCCTTCATGCTTTCTCCCAACCTCGACGTGAACCTCCACGCACATTCCATGAGCTCTCCGAGGTTGTCTCCCACTCCATGGAGCCCATACATGAAGAGAAACCCAAAGGGTCTCAAGAGCGAGTCACTCACAGGGATTCTCAGACAAGGGAAGATCTTATCTCTTGCGTGGTTCAGAGTCGAGTGAATTAGAACCCTGAATGGCTTAGACTTTGACCTAACGTGAAGCTTATCAGCTTCACAGGTGTTCCATAAGCTAAACACAATCCATGAGGTTGGAAAATTACTGGTTTCATTATCAAGTTCCCAATTACCATCGTCTTTGTAGTAAGTGACCCAAGTTCCGAGACTGAGCTTCTCCTTCAAGATAAGGTCCATGTCTGTGAGATATAGGTCTTTGTGTTTCAAGGTTCTGGTGTACAAGGAGATGGCTTGGGCTATGTTGAGCTTCTGTATTTTGACCTGTCTGGTGGCGGTGGCTGCGGAGACGTGGTTGTGAGGGAAACTTGTGGGTTGGACGAAAATGAGGAGGGAAGTGAGATTGAGGTAGTGGCATTTGAGAGAGAAAAGGTTAGTGGAGGCAGTGTTGTTCTTCTCTGTGGCTACGAATGAGTACTTCGCTCCATTTCTCACCATCCATTCTTCTACTGAGCTCACTAGCTTTTGTCCTACGCCTTTTCTTCTGCACAACAAAGAAGATTGATTATCATATCAGTTACTTCAGAAAAGAGGATGGCTCAAACATGATCTCAGTCTTGATTAAAATCTTGTGTTTCTTTTGTGAGGAAGATTATATTCCATGTTTTGCAAGTCCTATACCCTTCGACACACGCCCCCCTCTGAAGATGCCTTCTATTTTACTACTCATTTATCTTTTGGTATGAAAATTTTGATCCTAACATAATTTATAATGTGTGGAAGATTTGAAAGTCTTGATTCCGTGACAAATTGAAATTTTCCGTCATCAAACATAGTCTAAAACACGACAAAAATTGAAATAAGTTAAAAACAGTACGTATATAACAAGTAAAATTGATCAGGAGACTGAATAAAAATTAATCTAAGCAGGCCTTAAAAAAAAGCTATTTGTTGGTTTTCCATATAACATTTTTTTTAGAAAATATATAAGATACATAGTTTGATTACAATTGATTTGATCGCAATTAAATTAATAAACCTTTATATTTTTCTATCAGTTCAATTCCACCATGATGACATTTTATTTTAAACACGTTGTTGAAATCCCACGTAACGTGTTCCAAAAAATTAAAAAAGAAATCCCACGTAACGTACTAATCAAAAACCTTTTCCATATTTTTATCCCAAATTTTCCTTAACTTGTCATTTCTTTACCAAATTGTACACGCGCGCGCGCGCGGGGGCGGTATTCATCAAATGCAAATGGGCCAAATTGCAAGAAGATGAACTGAATTCGCCCCGCCCCCAAATTAAAAAGTGAGTGTTGATTAATTAATCTTAATTATTGTGTTTCACTAACTTATATAACTAAATAAAAATTTCATTTTATTTTCATTGGATCAGAGAACAGAAACTAAACCTTATCACGCAGTTTAAATCATTTCAACAACATTATCCCTACCCAAAAAAAAAAAGCAGAAATAAATCAATAGTCATCTAACTAAATGACGTACATAATACATATATATGATCAGAGAGGCCGAATTAAAAATGAGTACTCTAGTATATATATACCGATAAGTAGGAGAAACCCTAAGGCCAAGAACACAACCCATCTTGAAGAGCGATCCAGAATGAGAGCCTATCGTCTTAATGCATCCTCGAACCACTCCAACAATCTCACCACTTTCTACCATCTCAGCCACCTGCATATGTATAATTAGATTATGAAAACTAAACACTCTATTACATATACACAAGGCAAGTAGATAGAGAGAGAGAAATGATTAATTGGGGAAAAGAGGAGAGAGAGAGGCACCAAGATGAGACGAAGAGGATAGAAGGAGATCCTAGAAAAAGGGTGATTAGCAAACATGTTGGTGAAAATGGAGACCCCCTGTTTAGTCCCAATCTCACAGTTCCTCTCAAGCTTCCCCACCACTTTCACATCTCTTTCTTCCTCGAATTCCCTTATCACTATCTCTCTCCCCACCATTTCTAGCTTAGCTACCTGATAAAACCAATCCTTCAAGCTTCCTAGCTTATCACCTACCTCATCTTCCTGTTGCCTCGTCCTTCTTCCTGCCTGCTATATATACACGTGTTATTACTTTACTTGCTGATTGCTTGATGCACAGATGGCGTGCGTTTTTCCTTCTTTTGATGATTTACCTCATCAGGATATATTTACAGCGTGTATATTATATGTGTAGGAATTATATTGATGATGATGATGATGCGTGCGTTGAAACTTAGAGTGGGGGATCGTCCTCTTAAATTGGTGTTCACAGAATAAAAGGCTGACAGGGTCTGGAATAGTCGTTTTCAGGAGGACAATATCAACAAGCCTTGCTTCCAAAATCACTAGCATTTCCCTTACGGGCCCTTACCATATGATTCACACAATCTTTGTCATCTTTTTCACTTTTTTACTACTTTCATGTTCCGTCACTTCAAATATATTTGTTGGTACCTTCCCTTTATGTATTCATCCCCCAAAAATATATAACACATCCCATTAATCCTCCACTACTATACATAATCGAATTTTTTATTAAAAATAGTTGAGGGCAGTAGTGCTGTTTATTATACATTATTTTATAATCCATATTTTTGTGCTCTTGGTGTATTATCCTATAGTGGCAAAGATGCCTCCCAAAATGGGAAGAATGAGGGCATTTGGAAAGTCGATTAATAATCTTGCTTCATCGGATCGCTAATATAGTTGCTGAGTCTCAAACACCAATTATTGATAGAATGGATACGAATCCTTCTACATCTGTCCGAGAAAAGATTTGTAAGTGGCCTACCTACAAAAAGATCAAATTTTTTCATTGGGAAGCTACTAGACTAGTCTAAAATTCCGTTATGATCTATTCCTTTTGATCCAAAATATAAACAACTTATAATAATAACCCACACACCAATAAAAATGTATTTATTGTTTTTTTTTCTTAATTTTAATTTATGATAAGTAAGAAAAATGTCATAAATTCATAGACACAAAGATATGGGTTAATAAATAGAAGAGATAAAATAAAAAAATTACAAATTTTAAGTCGCTTATATTTTAGAGTTGAAAAAAAAATGCTTATATATATTTGGAACGGGCTCTATATATTTTCCATTTATTATGAAAGTTCCTAAGGAATTCACCATCAAAGGAATGGTTCCAATAAAAATCACTTGTAATTGAAATCGCTTACAAGCCAATATTTTTTCTACTTGTTGGGTTTGGCATGGGTCAAAGGACTTATCCTTTCGGATGTAACTCCTATGACTCATGCTTTTACATGATTCAGGATTATGTTGAAGGTGCTGATTTAAAAAAAAAAAAAAGACTATGTTGAAGTTAGAGAGGTTTGGATTCAATTGGTCAAACAATCTAAACTCAACATTTATCTCTCTTTGCCTATATTTTGTGCGCGCGCGCGAGCAAAATTAGATTATATGTATGGAACTTGAAAATAAAGCTAGAAAGCAAAATAATGGGAGAATTCTTTAGTAAGGGCTCTTTGCTCATGGCTGTTGATCCATCTGGAAAGAGAGATGCATCAAACTTTACTCAAATGATGCAACCATTGATAGAGACATTGATTTTTTCAAGCACCTAGAAATACATTAATTGGAGACATAAAGCTCCAGATTTTGAAGAATGTCTTAAACCTGATCAGTTACAGGGAATGGGAACCATCTCAATAAATTAAAGTTAGATTAGATTGGACACGGATGGCTCCATTGATCACAGGTTTCATTACAGAGCTTAATTAGTTATATGCCCTCCACATATGCAGAGATTACATAGGATCCTTAATTAAAGATCAAAGCTTAATTAGATGGAACAATATGTGGTTACAAAAAAGTTAGAATTTTTCAACGATATAGTATCGAAGCATATTAAGATCCCAGAGAATCACCCACTTATCAATTCGATTAGAGAAATTCAAGATTTTACAATACATGATTGGATTATTATCTTTGACTGCATGTATAAGAAATTAAATCTAACAGTTGTACTGATCGGTTCACTCACTAGAAACTAAATAATTCTGCCATATTTTTTATGCCCCTTATGCATGCAAAATGTAAGGACTTGCTGTATTTATGAGCTACATATATGCATGTCATTAGTCAGTATCTTGAACGATTTAATTGTGGCCTTTGTGTTAAAAAAATAAATAAGTCTCTAACATCAATTATTAATTATTTTGCTCTTTCTAAAAGCTAATTTGTTTTAGATATATGATCACACTTCAACACGGTTGTATTATTGGACGCTCAATTTGTTATATCAATTATAATTAGTTGCATGCTGGTAAAAATAATTATAATTAGTTGCATGAATATAATTATATATAGTTTATAATGTTTCAGTTATAAATTATTTAGTTACATGATCACATTTCGATAATATATATGGACAAGTTACGTACTTTATATTTACGCGATGGAATTTATTAAACGGATGGTATCAATTTATTTAATTTGTATTTTGGGATGAAATTCCGGTATGATATATAGTCGACTTGGGAACTTTCAATTTGATCTTCTGAAGCTTTTTGTCGAAATTTTTTTTTTTGGCCTATTAGTAACGTGGATTAGGCTATTTCTGAATCTTGGAGAACTCCTTTAAGGAGACAAACAAATGACAAATATAATCAACAAACAGATGAAGTTGCAGCGACCATTTTAATTAATTAGGAGAATAATGATACTCTCTTTGTTCATTTTTAATTTATTATAAAGCACTTTTATGTGAATTATACCCTCCAATGAGTTATGAGTTACTATTTCTAAAATTACTCGTATACATTATTTTCATATTTATCTTTATTTAATATGATATCTTAACTAAAAATCTTATTAATGACACCCCTAATTAGGAGTATTTTTTAAAAAAAATATCAATTACACCTTTTTTTTTGCACGAGATCATTAATTACACTTGAAAGACCTAAAATGCTTCATTTGAATATTTTACCTTAAAAAAATGCCTTATATATATATATATATATATTTGAATAGGGAGAATAATATAATTCAGGATTTGATTAAGCTGTCACTTTAACAAATAGCATCTATTTCAATAAAACAAGGAGAATGACAATTATATGTTACCACAAAATGCAATTTTCCCGCATGCAGCATCTTGCAAAAAGGGCTATACATTGTCTGTATCACTAATTATAGATGCAAACTTAGTAGTAACACTAGTAATAGGTATCTAGCCCTACCCTCAATGAGTATTGCCTCTTTTAAAAAAATTTAAAAAGACATATACTCTTTCAGTTAAAAAATGTAAAGTATTTTTAATCAAATCTCATCCTCAATAAAGTAGTTACCTACTTTCAAACTAATCATATCTTTTTATATTTACCCCTATTAAACACCCTATAATAAATATAAAGTTATTATTAATAAGGACACTTTTTTTAAAAAAAGGCAATGATTATATCTCAAAAGGTTAAAAATGCCTTATATTTTTGAACATCCAACTCCTCAAAAAATATTTTATATTTTTTTACAAAAAAAGTATATACTAACGACTTGAAATTATAAATAGGATCAAAACCATAAATTAATTTCTATTGAACTGGCTACAATATCACTTCTAACTTACTTGACGAGTATTGTTTCATGTTCTCTTTTGTCACAAGTGCTGGTCATCTATCTATATGGCTTTTGTTATCTAGAATATTCTCCAAATATTCTATTATTATTGTATATATATCTCAATCATTATTAGGAGTTATTTTTGATATTATTATGTAATTATTAATCATTATTAAGTTGTCTTTTTTTTTATGTATATATTGTACCTTTTAGCTCAATAATAGATAAGATATTTCTTCATATTTCTCTTGCTTCTTTCATGGTATCAGAGCCGTATTTTTTTCTGCTCCTTCTTCCAGTACTGCATCTTCATCATCTGCTCGTTTCATTCCCGACACTATCTTTGGCTGCTCTTTTTTTTTCTCTTGCCTTTGGAATTCAATTCTTCCTTCAGCTTTCACATCTCCGGTGGGACCTGCTATACCTTTTTTCTTTAGCTTTTCTAGCTTGCCTTAACGTTCTATTCCTTTCTTTTAGTTTTTTTCCCCTTCCCTTTAAAGTAACATCTATTTTGTCTTCTTCCTCATTGAATTTTTAAAACTTTTCTCTCTAATTAAGCCAATCCGTGTGGACTTTTTTATTTTGAAATTCTTGCTTCACTGTGAAATTTTCATTTAATCACCATCTCCTCTTGGTCTTTCTTATTTATTTATTTTTTACCCCTTATTCTTTAATGAAAAAAATCTGAGGTTGCTCAACCTATTTTTATTTCGTTGACTAGTCCTAACTATCGCTTATGGATAGAAAGTATACGTGGTTTTTTGAAAGGTAGGAAACTTTGGCGATATATTACCAGAGATGTCTCATTTCTTGTTAAATTCTTCTTTGAAGATGACAAAAAATTTACTGATCGGTTGGATGATTGGGATAGTAAAAATAATCAAATCATAACATAATTTCTAAATACTTCTACCGCTAGTATTCATTAGCAGTTCGGGTGCTTCAAAATTGCTAAGGAGGTATGGGATCATCTTGCTAGCCGATATACCTCTTTTAATTTGTCCAATCAATACCAACTACAGAAGGACTTAGCTATTCTCAAAATGGAGAAAAGTTAATCATTGCTTGAGTTTCTTTCTAAAATGGAGACTATTTAGAACCAACTAGCCTATTCTGAGCCTACTTTTAAAAATGATGAGGATGCTAAAGTTTTCTTCAAGCGGCGAGGTCAACTTCATCTTATACAATTCTTGATGGCTCTTACTGATGATTTTGATCCTATTCGTGCTTCTCTGCTCCACCAAAGCCCACTTTCGACTCTTGAGGATGCTCTTCCTCCTCTTTATTCTGAGGAAACTCATTTAGGTCTTCTCCAATGATCCTTTAATATAGCTTTTGCTGCTCCTGAAAGGAATTCTAAGCTTTATCGTCGCTGCCCTCAA